GATCCGGACAACATCCGCGAGATCGCGCTGCGGGAGTACACCGAGCTGGTCCTCGACGAGACGGAGGTGTCGGAGGCCGCGCTGGTGCGCGACGTGCTCTACGCCTGCCAGGGCATTGACGGCCGGTACGTCCGGTATGACAAGGGCAGCGACGCCTACGACCTGCCCGATGGCGTCCGCGTGCCCCGCTCCACTCGCACCCTGGTACGCAAGCTGTGTGAGGTCGGGTGGCTGTTCCGCAAGGTGCGAGGCTTCATTTCCGACAATGTAAGCCGCTTGCCCTCTCATGCCGCCACCGAGGTAGGCACTGTTGCCCAGGCCTTCTGCTCAGCTCTACAGGAGGAACTATCTGATTATTACAAGCTGCTTGCCGTTCTAGAGTCATACTCGTTAAATCCAATTCCAACACCTGGATCTGATTCGGGTGTGTCAGGCAATTACCTCTCACTGCGGCGCCTTGTTGTGTGGCTTGCTGGGCCTACAGTGAGAATGCGCTTAATGGCTGTCTTGGTGGATGGATGCCGTGGCTTGAGAGGTGGTGGGATGGCTGGTGCGATCCATGGGCACGCACAGCATGGGGATCCCATGGTTCAAGATTTTATGGTCCGCTTGCTGCGGCGAGTGTGCTCACCACTGTTTGAAATGGTCCGGAGCTGGGTGCTTGAGGGTGAATTGGAGGATGTATTTGGCGAGTTCTTCATCCTTGGGCAGCCAGTCAAGGCTGAATCTTTGTGGCGGGAGGGCTACCTTATTCAGTCTGATATGCTACCGTCTTTCATTTCTCCGGTGCTGGCACAACGGATCCTTAGAACGGGGAAGTCAATCAACTTTCTCAGAGTTTGCTGTGATGATAATGGCTGGGCTGAGGCTGCCACTGAGGCTGCAGCCTATGTTGGCACCACAACTAGTCGAGGTGGGCTTGGTTATGGGCAGATTGACGCTTTGGAGGCATTGGTGGTAGAAGCAGCCAAGAGGATTGATCAACGTCTGATGGACGTAATTCATAAGCGATATCGATTTAAAGACCATTGTCTTGCTATCAAGAGGTATTTGCTTCTCGGGCAGGGTGATTTTGTTCAGTATCTGATGGATGTTGTTGGTCCTGAGTTGTCAGAACCAGCCAATAGAATTAGCCCCTTCCACTTTGCTGGCTTGCTTGAAACTGCAATACGTGCATCTGACGCACAATATGATGACCGTGACATCTTGGACCGGATAAAAGTAAAGATGATGGATCACGGAGATGGTGATGTTGGCTGGGATGTCTTCTCCTTGGAGTATGATGCTAGGGTCCCTCTGGACACGGTGTTCACAGCTTCAGTCATGAAGATGTACCTCAAGATATTCAACTTCCTATGGAAGCTTAAGCGTGTTGACCATTCCTTGACCGGAGTCTGGAAGACAATGAAGCCTAATTGCATTCTTTCTTCTCCATTTTACAAGGAAGGGGCAAGCATCAGGGCTCAATTTGTTTCAGTTCTTCGGAAATGCCAAGTACTGTTTAATGAAATGAACCATTTTGTGACCAACTTCCAGTACTACATTATGTTTGAGGTCCTAGAGGTTTCCTGGGCTCGTTTTTCAGAAGAAATGGATGCAGCAAAAGATTTAGACGATCTTCTCCTGGGACATGATAAATATCTCACTTCAATTGTCGAGAAGTCTCTCCTGGGCGAGCGGTCCCTGGGAATTTTGAGAAATCTTTTTGCCTTGTTTGACATCATATTACAGTTCCGCAGCCATGCTGATAGGTGGTTTGAACGGATATATGAGTTGCAACTAAGGTTAGATTATTGCAGAAATAGCTAATAACATCTTTCCCTCAAAATCTTTATCACATCTACTGTTTGGTTTACTTTTAAGTTTTCCTTCTTACTGCAGGGGAAAGGGTAAATCGAAAACAAAAACCAAGGAAACAGGTTCATGGCTGGAGGGGGGCAGAAAAGCTATGATTCAACTCGCCGGGGAACTTTTTCTGAAAATGGGTGAAGATTTGGACAGCATTGCAAAAGATTATACAGCTTCTCTTGATTCATTTATCTCCCAGTTGCCCCTGCAGCAGCATGTTGATTTAAAGTTCCTTCTCTTCCGTTTAGACTTCACTGAATACTACAGCCGTGTTTCGTCCAACAAATGAGTGAGTGCTTCTAATGTGGAAGAAGTAGGTGTCAGATTTACCTTTTGGTTTGGATTTTTGAGGCATTCTTGTGTATACGGTAGCCCCACTGATTGATATATTGTTAGTTCAACGGCATGAGCACATTCAGCTGTCCTGGGCTGTTGAAGGTAATTTCTAGCTGGGGTTAATACAAATATTCTCAGGTTATTCATCATTGCCAGTATGAGAAATTTCAATTTTGACCTTGTCGCTATTCTGGTGCAGATGTTTATCCACCGATGCCATGAAGTTGGAACCTGCGTTATAAGCAATGTTAGTGTACAGAGTTGATGTAAGTTTACCTTGATTTGGCATTTGTTTTGGGTGTATCGGTACACATTTCATTTATCTGCTTTTGTATTTTTATTTATTTAGATTGCACGGAGATTTATCCTTACCAGCTTGTATTCTGTAGTTACAAGAGAATGAGAATCTGATTTGGCTAGTTGCTGTGTTTGCTGGCTACCAAAATTGTTACCAAACTATCATAGGATTCCATGTCTACTTATAACTTACAAGGAGAGTTACTTTTTTGTTACCTTAATGCTTTATGTCAAGACATCCTGTTTTCTTTCGAAGATAAAAGTCTTGAGCAATGCCTGGCCATTGGTTACCAACTTATCATACTAGTGATTTTATATTACTGATATATCTGGAAACGGTCATATTTACTAATTTGTTTATGATAACTTGGACAGTCGTTTCCATGCTTAAAATAACTGAAAAAGTTTGTACGCGGCATCTGCAAGTTTAATCTGAGATGCATGGTGTGGGGACTGCATGTCCAATCGTATCTTCTGTTAACTGGGCAGATCTAAATTGCTATGAAGACCTGAACTAGTTGCTCTGCTCTCATATTTTTTATCTAGCTTTGGAGGTCCGTTACACACGTATATAGTATAATTAAGGGAATTCAACCATTCCCGTAATAGCTTCAAACTGCTAATTTTGGATGTGACGCCTCTGACAATGTACGCGGTTTGTGTAACTTGTTTTCGGAACTGGCATGCCACTTGGAACTACCCTCTGTCTCAGAAGGCAAGCTACTTGGGTTTCTACTGCAGTTGTGCGCCAGTTTGATTTTTTTTTTGTTCGTTACACCATCTACAAATTGCTGTGCAATTTCCTACAATTACCGTTTTAACACAATTCCCATTGTAGCTTCAAACTGCTAATTTTGGATGTCACGCCTCTGACAATGTACACGGTTTGTGTAACCTGTTTTTGGAACTGGCATGCCACTTTTTTTTTTGACACCTACTGGCATGCCACTTGGAACTACCCTCTTTCTCAGAAGGCAGGCTACTTGGGTTTCTACTGCAGTTGTGCGCCAGTTTGATTTTTTTGTTCATGTTACACCATTTACAAATTGCTGTGCAATTTCCCAGAATTACCGTTCTAGCACAATATCTTTCTGTAATGTCCGCACGGTTTGTGCTGTTAAATTTACATGTACCCGTGTTCTCTCGCCTGGTAAACAGGTCTGTAGCCGTGTTTCCCATTCATCCGATCCATTGCTGGACAGTGTTCCCCAGAATGACATGGCTATTAGATCAAGTGAATGTTTGAGCTCTGAATCATCAGAACTACTAATGCTGATCAATAGGAAATTGAGTCAGTTGGCCAGTTTATTGTAGATCAACAATAGGGCATCGAGTCTGTTGCCCATCTCTCTGTGCCCCATGTGGCACAACTATAAAGGCCGTCATTTCTTTTTTCGAAATGGTAAAGGCCGTCATTTCTGGCATATCCCTGCTATTATGTGGCAAACTTTGTTGGGCATACATGCCATTTCCCACGGATGTAGCAGTAGGTTTACTACATCTTGTTCCTGGCTAGCTTGGTTACGAAGTTTGCAAATTGCAACCCACTGATCTTATTGATTAATTCGGTCTTTGATCGGCGAGTGTATTGTGACATCTTCACATCAATCTGCTAACAAAGAGCAGTGTCGAGTGTCGTCTGCAGGAGCTGTCTGCGATTGTGAGTCAGTGTGACGATGAAAAGCGTCAAAGTTTCGAAAGTACCAAATGAAGTAGCTCCATAGTGTTCTTACCTTTTATCCGTTTAAAAAAAAATAGTGTTGTTACCTTTCCCCAGGCAGCCCTTGAAATAAAAGGCAGAAGTTCAATACCAAGGACCCCTTCTCATAGATTTTCATCGGATAATTTAGGTTGTTCCTCGTGAAAATCTACGAACATCCCAAGAATCTAAGAAATCTCTTAATTTTTACAAGATGTGGTACTAGACATTCCAGCATTAGCCCATGAACTCACAACATTGTTAGCTCCGCGCCGTGCTTTGGACTGCTTGTGAAGCTCCGAAATGCCCTGCGGTTCGGCAACATTGCTAGGCTTTTGTGGCCCGACTGTGCGCCTGAAGATGTACGCTATTTTCCTGTAATAAAAAACGTGAAGATATGAAGCCAATCCTTTGAAGCCATGTTCTGTTTTCTATTCCTACGTTCGAAAACGTCGCAGGAAAAATTTCCTAGAAAATTTTGTATCCATTGAAACTCCTGCGCGAAATCTCTTTGTTCTGGCAGATCTGCTCTCAGCTCTGAGCTCTCGGTGGCCACCGCCTGAGCCGAGAAAGCGACATGCGTGAACAGCCACATAAAATATAGTCACTTAGTCAGCAGAGCGACAAGCGAAGGTTCATTAATTAAACTATGCAAACTTTGATGTCGGGCTCTTTCTTAGTCACGCAAGCGTGGAAAGCCCTCCATCCAAAGGGACGAGGAGAAAGGAGAACACGCTCGAGCCAGCACAACAATCACTAGAGACTAGACCGAGCCGAGCAGAGCCGCCCCGCGTCTCGGCCGATCGATGGTATCGGGGACATGGAGGAGGAGCCAGGGCGCGACCCGGCCGGAGCTCGGGGAGCCCGCGCCATGGCCTCGCCCGACGCCGTGAGCTTCTGCTGCCACACCTGCGCCGCCCGGCTGGAGCTCCCCGCCCCGTCCTCCCCCTTCCACTTCACCCTCTGCCCCCGTTGCCGCCGGGACTACCTCGACGACTCCCCCGCGCTGCCGCCGCCTCCACCGCCCCTGTGCGCCCTACCCTGGCCGCCTGCTCCGTTCACCTCTTCCACGCCACCGCCGGCCCCGTGCGTCTCGTCGTCGTGGTCTTCCTTCACGACGGCGCGGCCGCGGACTCCGGTGTCCCCGCGCACAGGACCCTCGTTTTCCTCCACAGGACCACCGCCTGCGACGTCGAGCGGCAGCGCCGCCTCGCCGACCGCTCCCGTGCCGTCCTCCTACTGCCCCGAGCGCTCAGCGGCATGTCGGGAATTCCGGCTCCTTTGCGAGCAGCGCCGGTCCTCGCCCGCCGTCTCTCCCCTGTCGTCCCCGTACTCCACCGCCTGCTCCTCCCCTCTGCTGGCGTCGCCGCCTCCCCCGCCCCCGCCGCCGTTCCACCACGGCGACGGCGATCTACTATCCGAGTCGTTTCCTTTGACCCTGCGCTCCTCCACCGCCGAGGAGGCCACGTCACCGCCTCATGATCTGCTTCCTCCTCCGCCTCCGCCTTGGCTGCCGCTGGCGTCCGCTGGTACATGGGATGAATTCCTATTCAACCACTCCGACTCCGATGATGACAGCCCGCCACAGCCTCCTCCGCCGCCGCCGCATGTCTCTACCTACCATGCCATGCTCGACGTGCCGCTCCAAGTCCAACGCGGCGGGCCACAAGCGGCGGCGGCGTCTATGGCCGCCAACGACAGCGTGTTCGAGTTCGACACGCCTCTCCAACGCGGCGGGTCACAGGCGGCGCCGCCGGAGTCCATCGCCGCCCTGCCCACCGTCGCCGTCACGGAGGCCGGGCTGGACTGCGTCGTCTGCACCGACCCCCTCCCGCCGTCGGCGCCCGCGCTCCGGCTCCCCTGCGGCCACCTGTACCACTCCCACTGCATCGTGAGGTGGCTGTCCGAGCAGAACTCCTGCCCAATCTGCCGAGGCAGCATCCCGACGATCGTCTCCGCCACAAGCGACATCGCGTCGTCGTCGTCGTCGTCATCGTCGCAGCCCCCCGGCGGGAGGCGAAGGCGATCTCTGCCGGTGCCGGGGGGGCGCCGGATCAGAAGGATCTGCAGCCGGCTGCTTCGAAACATGGAAATCGGCCGCGATCGTCAGACGAGCAGCAGCCGCGATCGCCAGACAAACAGCAGCGGCGGCGATGTGCGTGTGTGATGGCCGGCATCGTCCTGCTGCACTCGTACGATCGTCGGTGCCCAGCCATGTAATATTATAATTACAGAACATTATTATCGAGTGTTGATAAGTAAGTACTACGTTGCCTGTAGTTACAAACTTACAATGGGAGTTTCACACAATCCAAAGTTGTATTACGAAATCATTACATCTGCTGGGAGCCAAATGACTGGAAGAGGTGAGTGACAGGCCACCGAAAGATTTGAAGGAGTTGCTTGCTTACAGATGGTTGTTTTTCTAATTCAGCAACAACCAGAATTTTGTATTTAGGCCCTGTTCGCCTTACCTCCGCTCCGCAGCTTCACTCCTGGAGCGGGTGGAGTCACAGTGAAAAAACGCGGAGCGGCTGTTTCGTGGCTCCACAACTCCTGGTATTTTGTAGAGCAGGTGGGATTCCGAACACGGCCTTAGTCTTTCATGTGATATATAATTGGAGGGTCAAAGTAATGGCACATATTTATGAACTCTATGTGTGTAGACAATTCGCAGGTCCCGGAGCTAGTACAGTCCAGCTCAAATTATCTTTGGGCAACGGAAACCGAGTCCAGAACCTTCTTGAAACCTAGGAGCCGATATACAAGATAAACCAATCAAGAAAGGGTAGCAAAAGCAGCACACATTGATCGACGACCGCTCAGAAAGTGTATAAGGTCTAGGCTGCAACTTCCATCTAATTATAGGTCTTAATACGCATCAGAAGTTCAGAACAGCAACAATAGAGAACTGAAAATGTTTGCCAAAAAAGTACCCCCTCCCTTGTATAATATAAGAGCATTTTTTACACTAATGTGAAGTTAAAAACGCTTTTATATTATGTTATGGGACGGAGGGAATAGACAGGACGAGGATCGCAAGAAAGCAAATGAGTAGCTAATCTTCAACGAGTGGGCACGTCCTAACCCAGGGGCATCTGCACCCACTTTTCAAAAAATGCATTTTAAGCATGTTTTAAAATCTCAAAAAAATCAAAAGAAAATTCCATGCATACATGTCGCAAATGTATGTGCGCGGCACAAAGTTTTGTGAAAAATTGTCCTTTTGTTTTGTCTCCGTAAAAAAGAAAAATTTCAGTGCTTCTAAATAGCATTCTATGACACAATTTTTTGTTTTTTTTTGCACACGCCACAAAAAAAGTTATTTTTCCGCAAAACTTTATGCACGCACATAGAACATGAAGACATACAAGTGCAACATTTTTCAGATTTTTTTAGCATTTAGAAATGTGTTTTTCAAAGTGGGTTCATATGTACCCGGTTCATCCATACACTTCCCATCTTGAACCGCCAAGTAGCAAGATCACCACAGGCCTCGCCCAGGATGGGCACCACCACCAGTATGCATGTTCGATTTCACCCTAGTAATTCCCTCGCCACATTAAGCATTGGTACAGTAAAATTCCTTGATGGCCCTTTGAGATCTGAAATGTTTGACAAAACGCAACCTTACCTGGCTTTGAAGCGAAGCAGCCCATGAACAAACATGAATGTTACTGACAAATTATGACTTGCCCATGATCAAATATGAATGCATGTTTGTTGTAGAGAAGGAATGAACTCACAGCGCACCCTACATGTCAGGCCCAACCATATGGAATGCAGAAACCAACACAATAATCAGTTGATGAACAAGTGATTCAGAAGGCTGACTACGCATCATGACCTGTTTCATGTGAAAACCTGGCAAAAGGTAATTGAGAATTATAGTAGGCAAAAACAGCATGACCCGTTTCTCAAAAGGAAAAAGAAAAAAACAGCGTGCCACTAGCACATGCCCATTTCACACCATCCAAAAACTGAAGTGCCGACACACTGAAACAAAAGCTCATGACAAAGAGGTTGGGTCGCCAGCTATGCATCATAAGTATTAATTTTGCTTGCAAGAGCTCTTATCATCCTGAATGCAAAGTAAAACACCCTATGTGACTTTTGCTTCATCGTCATGAATCAAATTTGTAGGATGGCGACGCTGAGGCATGAACAGAGGAAGTTTCTTTCGTGCCCACGGGAGCAGCATCCGCAACACTCTCTCCAGTAACCATGGTTTGTGAATCCTCCTAAGACATAAAAGGATAGTTCAGTGTAAGTACAGGATTAATGTACTTTTATAGATAACTCGCACAAGGCTACAGATTCCAAAGATAGTCGATGAAATAAGATTTGTTACACCAATGCCATCTTCTCATAGTGTACAGCTGGGGCCCACCCACAAATTCAAGGAGAATCACACTGCACTGTGAGGCAGCAATTAAGCTCGGAGTACATGATGCACTTGCTTCAGGCATCATATACCAGCTTCTTTCTTAAGAATGATAATAAATGTTTATTAGTCAGACATCATATACCAGCTAAGAAAATACTTGCCACTGAAGATTGACTGCATCTAGAAAACTTAGTCACATGAGGACACTAGAATGGCTGATCTAGTGAAAAAGCGAGACCAGTTGACCAGCATCACAGCACTAATCTCGTATGAGTATCATGAAAAATAGCATCTGGTTTTCTTACTAATTTTCATGTATCTCCACATCAATAGGTTGATAGCCCCCATAAAACTCAAGGCTGTGATCTCAACCCTTAATTTAGCTGCAACAGTTGGCTAAGTTGACTTAGGGAGATGAAAATGCACCAATCTAGGACCTTTTGCTCGCATGCTTAATGTTTCTATTAGTATTCCCTCCGTAAAGAAATATAGTAGTGATCTAAACGCTCTTATATTTCTTTACAGAGGGAGTACTAAGTAAATCTTACTAGTTTCTGAGGTATGCAAGCAGACACGGCGAAGCAAAACTATGCAAAACTTATTTCCCTGTGTAATATAACCCATACAGTTGCTGCTAAACTAAAAAAACTCAGCAACTTCAGTGCCATGGTGATCCTTTTCAAAAGAAAAACTATGCAAAAGGAAATTAAGTACCGTAATGGAAAAACAAGGTTAGGAACAAACGATAAAATGACTGGCTCAATAAAAATATAAATAGAGTGGACCCAGGATGGATGACTATTCAAGCTAAGAATAAAAGAGGGTCTGGAACTCAATCCACAACAAACAGCCAAAGATAGCATAAATTTCATGGCTTAGCCTCTTGTCAAGTAGACATACTGCTAGTTTCATTGGATTACATTCATTAGACGTAGCTTATGGCTCCACTGTTTCCTTGATATATAAGTATATGAAACTAACACATGACCTTTTCACAGCACCAAAAACTGAAGTACCAACTGATAGGAACTAGGGTTTTGCCCTGCCTAGGGCGTAGGTTGTAGGGAAAAGAGGGAGGTGGGCGAGGGCTGGAGCGCGGCGGCCGGCGGCGAGGCGCCATCCTTGCGGTTCGGCGGCGGCGGCACAAGCAGGAGGCGGCTAGGGTTTTAGGGTTCCGGCTCCTCTGGGAGCCGGGCAACAGAATAGTCTTATTGCTTAAATCTGAAAATAGTCTTACAACTTGTATATATAACCACGATCTGAAAATAAAACTAAGATCTGAAAATAAAACTAAGATAACTTGTGGCCTAAGCCTGCCCGGTGGGCCTCCTACGGCTGTAGGCCCGGCCGGTCATAACACCAAGACATTTGTAAGAAAGCTCATCTCGTGAGAAGAAGTACAGTATGATCAGTCCAAAGAGATTAGTTTTCAACTGGCAAAGAATTGGCCATAGGAAAGATCTCGACAACTTCCCTAATGCATTTCCCATCAACTCTCTTTCCACTTTTTCCCTAAAACTATCGAAGTCAGCACTTATCTTATCAGATTGTACAATCACACAGGTTGTCAGTTATGCAGCATATGTAGTGACTTTGATTACCAGGGAGTTGCCAAATCAGACATGATAGTGTGCTACTGTATCAAGACTTGCAATCAAACATTTTTTTAAATAAAAAACAGTTGACTCAAAAGCGCAGATTATCACAACTACAATAATCCAATACCCTCAAGTAATTTAAATAAAATAATCTAAAGACCAAACTTCTACAGACTTTACCAGGATCTTCAGGATAGGCTCACCTTGTGGCACACCAAAGAAGGAGGCCACGCCATGATGTAGGGATGTGCAGGGCTTACATATGTACTATCACCAAAGAGCTTGTTTAGCTTTGCTGTTTCCAGGCAGAGGGATAGCAGAGATTCAGTATGCTCGTCAGTATGCTCGTCATACTTAGTTGACAAATAAACAAAGCCATCAATAACCGCCTCGATCTGCACTGTGGGATCATCCTTAGTGGCATCAACAAATGTAGTGAGCAGAAAAGTATCTCCCAGAACCCATTTCTCAACACCATCATCATCAGCTGTCCAAAACCAAACATGAAGCGTTCCTCTCTCTGCATCAGAGAGATCTATGGCAACCATACATAGCATCCCATCCTTGGTCTGACCAAGTCTGAATCGCGTAGAGCTAATCTGTCCCAAGAATGGCGGCAAATCCAATCTAGAGAATTGCACTGTCACAGTGTTGAGAACAAGTACATAGGGTCGACTCGTGTGTTTCCAATAAACGAATCCATTCAGCTGCGTGCCAGGGTAAAACTTGATAAAGTCGTGTGGCGGCGGTGGCGGCGAGGTCTCCACCCATGGGGAAACCTGCCACTCCCTTGTCGCCGTTGAGAAGACGGCTACGCAAGCCGGCGCCCGCAGGCGCGTGCTCTGGTGCTGGACACAGACCACACGGAACACCCGCTGGTCCTCTTCGGAGAAGACAATGTGGGCCTCAAGAGAGTCGGAGAATAGGATCTCCTCCGGCGGCCGGGGTAAGAGATGCAGCGCCTGCGTGACAGGGTTGTAGGCAGCGATCTGGTGGGTGGCATCTTTGACGAGGACGACGTAGCCGCCGTGGAAGCTTTGTAGCTTCCACCTAAGGGTGGAGTCGCCGCTGTCTTCCGGGAGACGGGTAAGGAAGAAATCGGAACCGCGGACGGCGGCGGCGAGGTCCGGGTCGGAGCGGCTGCGGAGGGGGGCGAAGGGAGGTACGGGGGCACGGCGGGGTTCTCCGAAGAATCCAAGGAGCTGCGGCGGGTGGAGCGCCCGGAAGCGGCGGCGGAAGGCAGGGGACGAGCGGACGGCGTTGAGGAAGGTGCGGCAGGCGAGGGCGGCCCGGACGAGGCTCGGTAGGGAGGGAAGGAGGAGGAAGATCTCGCAGAGGAGGTCGCCGCTGATAGCGGCAATGGTGGTGGGTGTCGCCGGTGGGCCTTTCGCCGGCGGCGGTAGCCCTAGCTCGGAGGCCATGGCGCCTGGAGAAGAGAGGCGAGCCGCACGAGCAGGGCAGGGCCGGGCGGAAAATCCTATCTGCCGCTCGCTGCGGCAAACTGTCGACCAAACACACACTTCGAGCGAGCAGAGCGGTCTGGGATGGGCCGGCCTATTTTAAGCGTAGCGTAGCACCTGTTTCAACCGGTTTTGGGAACCTTCTAGAAGGCCCTGAACCGGTTTTCCTTTATAGTTTTTTCTGGTTTTTTTATTTTTCGTTTTTTATTTTCTGTTTCCTTTTTTGTTTCCTTTTTCAATTTTGAACCCGAACATTTTTTTAACATAAAAAACACTAAAAATAGAATTAAGAAAAGTAAGATACAAACAAAAATGTGAAACCATCCTTTTCTAATTGCCCTGAACATTTTCTGTATTTTTGTAGATTTGTTTTGAAAACGAGAAGATCTTTTAAATTCTGAACAAACTTTGATACCTCGATCATTATTTGAACCACCCCTGAACTTTTTATGAATTTTTTAACAAATTTTCCATGGCGTTATAAGACCAATTCAGGGAACCATGCTAAGTTATTTGGATGACCAATTCGAGACAACTGTCAATTGTCATTTGCCCTAATTTTTCGACAACTGTCAATTGCCCTAATTTTTTTGGCCTTGTATGGCCAATTCGAGACACCATTCCATGTTGCTTGTGCCTTCAACAAATTTTGCATTTTCTGGAGTTTTCTCGGTCAGAAAAAGCACTATAATAGCCGGACATGTCGCAACATACGTACAGTGTCGAAAGTCGTTCAAACCTAACATGGATGCCTATCATGGGCATGCTCATCTGGTTGCAAAAGTTTGGGTCATTTTAAAGATGTCCAGAAATAGACCATGTTCAATAAAGAGTGTTCGAGTATTAGGCCAAAAGGCTCCGTTTGAGATCATATTGTTTCTCGACATCCATCTACTGACCCCAATTTTTTATTGGCTTGCACGAACAATTCAAGGCACCATACCAAGTTATTTTGTTTTTGACAAATTTTGTATTTTCTAAAGTTTTCTTAGTCATAAAAACCGATAAATGGTCAGACGTGTCGCAACTTGCACTCGGTGTAGGAAATCGTTTAAACCTGGATACCTACAATAGGCATGCTCACCCGCTTGCAAAAATTAGGATCATTTTAAGAATGTCCAAAAATAAACCACGTCTATCGAGGGTGTCTGAGTAGGCCAGAAGGCTTCGTTTAAGAGAACGTTGTTTTTCGTCATCCTTCAAATAGCCGCAATTTTTTCATGGCTTTATATGACCAATTCAAGGCTCCATGCCAAGTTGTTTGGGATTTTGACAAGTTTTGCATTTTCTGAGGTTTCTTGGTGAAAAAAGGTTGATAAATGTCCCAACATATTGCAACATGCATACGGTGTCGTAAGTCATTAACTAGGTAAGGATACCCAACACGGGCATACCCACATGCTTGCAAAAGTTGTGGTCGGTACTGAGATTTAAAAAAAAATCATGTTCAACTGAGAGTGTTTGGGTAGACGAAAAGGTTCTGTTTGGGAGCACCTCATTTCTCGACATCCCTTAAATGTCCCCATTTTTTCATCGCCTTGTATCACAAATTTAAGGCACCACCTACTTGTAAACATTGAATTGGTCATAGAAGGCCATGAAAAATGTGTCCACAAATTCACAAAATGTTCGAGGAGTTTCAAATGATATTCATGCTTTGAAAATTTGTTCATCATTTATAAAATGATCTTGTTTTTGAAAAAATGACACAAATACAAAAAATGTTCTAGAAAATTAAAAATATTGGTTTCAATTTTTTCGTATTTTTTTTGAAATTCCAAATTTGTTAGTGTTTTTCAAAAGGGGCATTGCTACGTGCCAGCCCACTGATCTTTTTAGAAGATCGACCGGGTTGTGTACCATCCGATTGTGTGAGCCATTTGATTGTTCCTCTTCTCTATTTCCCTGCAGCAAAACACTTGTTGCAAACCTCTGTTGTAACAGGACCTTTGTTGCAAAAGCATCTTCGACATGTTCTCTTTATTCCTGCAACAATACCCTTGTTGCAAAACCTCTGTTGCAACAAGACATTTGTTGCAAAAAAGCATCTCCGATCTCTTATGTGTATTCCTGCAACAAGATCCTTGTTGCAAAGTTTGCAATGACATTTTTCGGCATCTTCTCTGTATCCCCGCAACAAGACTATCGTTGCGAAAAAATTGCAACAAAGATCATGTTGCAGAAAACATGAAGAGAGAGATAGAAAGGAGAAGCTAGGGTGAGAGGCGTGGGGCGTGCTTGCAGCGCAACAACAAGGGTGCCGGGGTGCTTGCAACAACGAGATGGTCCTGGCTAAGGCAACGGACATCAGCGATGGTGGCGACGTGCTTCACCGATGGTTCAACAAAGGAGAGAGAGAGAGAGGGGGGGGAGGGAGGGAGAGAGAGAGAGAGAGGAATTGAAAGAGCGTTCAGGAAAAGACACGACGGTTCTTGTTCTAGTAGATAAGATCAATGACGTGTAAGTCTGGGGCCAAGAAGGCACGTGGCGTGCGGAGCGCGCGGACGCGTATGTTAAATCCGTCGACTGATATGAAGAATTTTCCTTTTAAAAAATATTCGCGTTCAAATTTTTGTTCGCTCTTTTTAGAAATTGTTCATGTTTTGAAATTCTGAGCAATTTTGAAAGACACCAACATTTTTTTGAAAGTTCTATATATTTTTCTGAAAAAGCGAATATTTGCATATCTTTTTAAAAATTGAACAACATTTTTAAAACGCGGCATTTTCTGGAAAAGAAAAAAGAAATTGGAAATAAAAAACAAAAATATGAAAAGAAACAGAAAACAAACAGAAAAATTTTCTGAAGGTCCATATTGCTCTTTATACGCCTAGTGAGGGGGTGTATTGAAGCGGAACTCTTGTAATACGGGGACGGTCTTCTATGCGCAGAAAATTGACTCTGATCTTCATCTTCTATCTGCAAGATGCTGCCTCAGAAGTTATGAGCTTAGGAGAATCCGAGAATGTACGTTCTGTAACCGAGGAATTAGCAAAAGGGATTATCTATCATATGTACGAGTTCTAAACTATGTATGAAGATAACCAAAACGGGTTGCACAGGCTTGTTTATTGCTCTGCTCTACAAGAAAAATTGGAACATGGAAGAGGAAGCTCTTATATTTTGATGTGGAGGGAGTACTAAATCTATCTGTTGGTTCGTACAATCTTCAAACGAGACATAGCTCTAAAATTGACCTAAGGCGTCTTATATTTCTTTATAGAGATAGTACAAAAGATATTTCAAGTCGACTATAAGTTCTGTTCTGAATTTTGTGGCAGCAAAAATATGAGTCATTCACGTGTTGTAGTCATGGTTTTCAGTTTCAGTTTCAGAAATATTTCACCAACAACCGAAATCACCAAAATCCAGTGAATTTCAATGTTTGCATTTTGGCACAAGGGCTGAAATATGATATTTCAAGTTGACAATAAGTTTTGTTCTGAATTTTGTGGCTACAAAAAAATGAGTCATCCACGTATTGCAGTCATGGTTTTTAGTTTTAGTTTCAGAAATATTCACCAACAACCGAAATCATCAAAATTCAGTGAGTTTCAATGTTTGCATTTTGGCACAAGGGCCGAAATATTCACTTGAATTCAACCAAGTATTTGGATTTTTTTGAAAATATTTTGAACATGTTTGAATTTCTATGCAGTAATGAAACTGCCGAAATCTTTTGGCCGAAACATAAATAATTGTGTGTACAGAAATTCAGTGAATTTCATTAAAATCTAACTGAAAGCATACTTTCTGCATTTTAAGCCGTTCAGTGGCACCAGGAGTGTGATTTTTCCTTCTTATATCTTTATTACAAAGCTTTAACTTTTACTCCTAGAAGAAGAAAGGAAGAAGTTTCTTGTATAGAAAAAGCGTATCCAAGGACATCCTGAGCATTAAAATGCATAAAAATAGGAAAACAAACCATTTGAAGAGGTTCACGATATGAACAACTGTTTCATTGGTCAGAAGTTTCTCCTCAAAACACAAGCACATATGATTGAACGGCAGCCATGTCAGAGTTGTGTCGAATATTATGTACAAGTTATGTTACAGTTGAACTCTGAGTAGTATTGTGTTAGATAGGACATGGAGTCGTGTCCTAATAGGACACTTGTATCCTAGGCGTCTCATATATAGTAAGGGTAGACACGCGATGTAACATATGCCAATATAATAGCACAGGAACGCAGAGAAAACCGGCGGCATGTGCCCACGTACAGGGTGGCCGGGTGCATATTGTAGCGGTGTCATGGGGAGGAGCGCCCACAGTCAGACCTCGAGGATGTAGCCATATCGGTGAACCTTGTTAACAAATCTTGGTATCGTGCTCGTGTGATTGGTTGATCCTCGAATATCAACGGTATATCTCGGATTTATTCTAACAAGCCAAAACATAATCTCGTATGGCCACTTAATTGTACAAACCCAAACGGCGTGTAGCTCAGTTTACATATCCAATCCCAAAGAACAAACCAATAACCAATCAATGAAAGAATGGCGTGAATAGCTCCTACAGGCTACAGCACGCACCGGGTACTAGCTCGCAAACGATCGCTTGCTAGCTCGGTCCGTGTCCCTGCCGCCAATCGCGCTTGGTTAACAACTAATCCTTCTTCTGGTGGGCGAGGGGCACCGGCGACGACGGCTCCACGGAGACGGCGCGGGGCGAGGGCTCGCCGCCGAGCGGCAGCGGCAGGTCGGACAGCAGCGCGACCATGCGGCGGGCGCTGAGGGAGCGCGCCGGGGGGAGGCCGAGGGTCTTGGTGGTGGAGAAGACAGAGGAGGACTGGGCGAGGATGAGGTACACCAGCGCCTGCACCAGCACGAACAGCCCCACCTTCAGCAGCGCCCCGTGCTGGCTCACCATCTCCAACTCCATGCCAACAAACTAATTAACCCCCCGAGCTCTTGATCACAGCGAATTCAGCGAGTTCACCAAATCCTTCCTTGAGAGCCCGAGACTGAGAATCTCTCGAGAGTGTGTGTTCTTGCTTGATTGATGTGTTTGTGAGGACTGGAGGTGCGGGGCGCGCGCTTATATAAGGGCGAGACGCCGGTTTGACCGCTGCCGGCCGGGGCAGGGACGTAGGGAGGGTGCAACGCAAAGATGCTTCGCCGGCCAGTCGTTCGGGGTGGTTCGGCGAAAGGCGGACGCTGGCTGCTCGACCTGCTCCGTGCTGGACCGCTCACCGCTCACGTGTGCAGGGATTATAATATTGCTTGGGTTGCTCTCACCTCACGGATGGCTGCGCGGAGCCTACGTTAAAGTCGTAAACTATCACCGGGCGTCGCCGCCGGCCAAACCCAACAGTTGGAACCGGTCCTGCTCAAGTCTCGAATCTCAAGTGGTAGAGTAGCGCATGTGCATAATTTCAAGAAAGGATTTCGCAGCTCCTAGGATGCAAGATTACGGGGTATGGGAAGGCTGATTAGCCCAGCTGCCCTTTTACCCAAGGTCTTTGAACAGAAGCACGAAGCTAATCGCCTAAGCAAAAGAGCTTTCCGACTCGCCGTCGAGTCAGCTCGGTCTTATCCAAAAGCTGAGAAAGCAGTGGCAAAGCTAGTCAGGGCTCCCTTGGTTTACAGAGTTCAAAAACGTGGCAACAGAAAAAACAGATGGGTAGAACAGGAATGCATGTGGAAAATAAAGAATTGGTGAGCATAAGAGTGTACTACGGGCCGTTTCTTTGGGGAACATCGTTTGTGGAGCAGCGCTGGAAGACAGAGACAGAAGGTGGGGCAGCTTCGTCTTGCACGGAGCTTCGGTGGAGCTGTCAAGTCATGTCTGTCCGACAGTTACTACGTTGAGTCATGCCTGGTTGGCAGGTGCTATACTTCTAAAGTGAATGCATGTGGTGTGCGCTTTAGGTAGGTTGCACCGGCTGTTGGTCCCGATACGTTATGTGGATGGATCGACGACGACATCGGTTTTAGATATGAAGAGTGAGAGCACTCCACATTATCGAGTTTGTAGGTGTGAATGATGGATTTTGTGGATTGATATATGTTCTTGTCAGACATTTGTGAAATAATTAATAAAGATGTCTGCATGCATTGATTGATGTAGAGGTCAGGGGTTTAATCTCTTTTCTGAAAAAAAATAAGAGTGTTGTCAACTTTGATGTTTGGTTCATGTGAATTATGAAAACATAGAAATCCTAATAAACATGATGAAATCAAAGTCAAACACACATGAAAATATATAGCTGAATTGTGATTATGCTACTAAAATTGTACTCTTGTTATTCGTGCATAGGAATTTGAAAACAAAAGGTTTCAGTTGGATGTTAGAATTCCTGCATTTCTCTGTTGAATCTGAGTCAAAGGAAAATTCCCTTAATTCTTTTTTGTCTCATTTCTTTAAACCAAAGGCAAGAATAGTAGCATCCCATGAAAATTTCATATTCCTACATTAATCCCTGACACCTAACAAAGCAGCATGACAAATCTTAGAACTGCCCCACGTCACTTCTCTGAGGCGACTCGGGAGGAACCCTAGTCAACATCGTTAGGCCACGCCCCACCATCCCTTCTTCCCTTTGCTGTCACCGGAGGTGGCCGCCGAGCTAAGCTAGGGTGGTGGATGGCGGGGGTGCAGCAGTCTTCTCCTCGTCAAGTGGCAAGAGGTTGAGGTGGGGGAGGTTGGATACCCTTCCGGCTTCCTGGCTCAGTGGCTCTAGGAGAGGCGCTTGTAGGCTTCTAGGGCTCGTTCCGGTGGCTATTCTCCGGAATGGTAGACCCTAGTAGTGTCGTTCACGAGCGGCAGCCACATCTGCTTCGTCCACGGGCTCTGAGTCTACGATTGTACATTCATCTCCGGCGAGTCAGGGCAGATGCAACCCCTTTTCCTACTCCGTGGAGCTCGTCATCGTGTTGGCTGGCGGCGTGCTGGCCTCTTGTGTGATGGAAATATGACCTAGATGTTGGGGAACGCAGTATTTCAAAAAAATCCTATGATCACGCAAGATCTATCTAGAAGATGCATAGCAACGAGAGGGGAGAGTGTGTCCACGTACCCTCGTAGACCGAAAGCGGAAGCGTTTAGTAACACGCTTGATGTAGTCGAACGTCTTCGCGATCCAACCGATCCAAGCACCGAACGTACGACACCTCCGCGTTCGGCACACGTTCAGCTGATGACGTCCCTCGATCTCTTGATCTAGTTGAGGACGAGGGAGAGTTCCGTCAGCACGACGGCGTGATGATGATGATAATGAAGTTACCGACGCAGGGCTTCGCCTAAGCATTACGACGATATGACCGAGGTGTGTAACTGTGGAGGGGGGCACCGCACACGGCTAAGAGAAGACTTGGTGTGTCATTGGGATGCCCCCTCTCACATATATAAAGGGGGGAGGAGAGGTGGCCGGCCCTAGGGGGGCGCACGATGGGGGGAGTCCTACTTGGACTCCCGGTCCAAGTAGGATTCGGTCCCCCCCCCCCCTTTCCTATTCCAAGTAGGAGAAGAAGGGAAGGAGGAAGAGGAGAGAAGGAAGGAGGGGGCGCGCGCCACCTCCTAGCCGGCCCTCTCTCTTCTCCATTAAGGCCCATGGTGGCCCATTAACCTCCTGTGGGGGGGGGGGTTCCGGTAACCCCTGGTACTCTGAAACGACCCGAACCATTCTGGTGTCCGAATGTAACCTTTCAATATATGAATCTTTATGTCTCGACTTTCGAGACTCCTCGTCATGTCCGTGATCTCATCCGGGACTCCGAACGAACTTCGGTTCATCAAAACACGAAACTCATAATACAAATCATCATCAAACGTTAAGCGTGTGGACCCTACGGGTTCGAGAACTATGTAGACATGACCGAGACACATCTCCGGTCAATAACCAATAGCAGAACCTGGATGCTCATATTGGCTCCTACATATTCTACGAAGATCTTTATCGGTCAAACCGCACAACAACATACGTTGTTCCCTTTGTCATCGGTATGTTACTTGCCCGAGATTCGATCGTCGGTATCATCATACCTAGTTCAATCTCGTCACCGGCAAGTCTCTTTACTCGTTCTGTAATGCATCATCCTGTGGCTAACTCATTAGACACATTGCTTGCAAGGCTCATAGTGATGTGCATTACCAAGAGGGCCTAGAGATACCTCCCCAATACACGGAGCAACAAATCCTAATATCGATCTATGCCAACTCAACAAACACCATCGGAGACACCTGTAGAGCACCTTTGTAATCACCCAGTTACGTTGTGACGTTTGATAGCACACAAGGTGTTCCTCCGCTATTCGGGAGTTGCATAATCTCATAGTCTGAGGAACATGTATAAGTCATGAAGAAAGCAATAGCAGAAAAGCTAAGCGATCATTATGCTAAGCTAACGGATGGGTCTTGTCCATCACATCATTCTCTAATGATGTGATCCCGTTCATCAAATGACAACACATGTCTATGGCTAGGAAACTTAACCATCTTTGATTAATGAGCTAGTCAAGTAGAGGCATACTAGGGACACTTTGTTTGTCTATGTATCCACACATGTACTAAGTTTCTAGTTAATACAATTCTAGCATGAATAATAAACATTTATCATGATATAAGGAAATATAAATAACAACTTTATTATTGCCTCTAGGGCATATTTCTTTCAGTCTCCTTCTTGCACTAGAGTCAATAATCTAGATTATATAGTAATGATTCTAACACCCATGGAGTCTTGGTGTTGACCATGTTTTTCTTGTGAGAGAGGTTTAGTCAATGGGTATGCAACATTCAGACCCGTATGTATCTTGCAAATCTCTATGTCTCCCTCCTTGACTTGATCGTGGATGGAGTTGAAGTGTCTCTTGATGTGCTTGGTTCTCTTGTGAAATTTGGATTCCTTTGCCAAGGCAATTGCACTAGTATTGTCACAAAAGATTTTCATTTGACCCGATGCACTAGTTATTACACCTAGATCGGATATGAACTCCTTCATCCAGACTCCTTCATTTGCTTCTTCCGAAGAAGCCATGTACTCCGCTTCACACATAGATCTCGCCACGACGCTCTGCTTGGAACTACATCAATTGACAGCTCCACCAATCAATATAAATACGTATCCGGTTTGTGACTTAGAGTCATCCGGATCAGTGTCAAAGCTTGCATCGACGTAACTGTTTACGATGAGCTCTTTGTCACTTCCATAAACGAGAAACATATCCTTAGTCCTTTTCAGGTATTTCAGGATGTTCTTGACCGCCGTCGAGTGATCCACTCCTGGATTACTTTGGTACCTCCCTGCTAAACTAATAGCAAGGCACACATCAGGTCTGGTACACAGCATTGCATACATGATAGAACCTATGGCTGAGGCATAGGGAATTACTTTCATTTTCTCTCTATCTTCTGCAGTGGTCGGGCATTGAGTCTGACTCAAATTCACACCTTGCAACAAAGGCAAGAACCCTTTCTTTGACTGATCCATTTTAAACTTCTTCAAAACTTTATCAAGGTATGTGCTTTGTGAAAGTCCAATTAAGCGTCTTGATCTATCTCTATAGATCTTGATGCCCAATATATAAGCAGCTTTACCGAGGTCTTTCATTGAAAAATTCTTATTCAAGTATCCTTTTATGCTATTCAGAAATTCAGTATCATTTCCGATCAACAATGTGTCATCCACATATAATATCAGAAATGCTACAGAGCTCCCACTCACTTTCTTGTATATACATGCTTCTCCAAAAGTCTGTATAAAACCATATGCTTTGATCACACTATCAAAACATATATTCCAACTCCGAGAGGCTTGCACCAGTCCATAAATGGATCCTGGAGCTTGCACACTTTGTTAGCACCTTTCAGATCGACAAAACCTTCTGGTTGCATCATATACAACTCTTCTTTAAGATATCCATTAAGGAATGCAGTTTTGA